GAAGATGCGCAACAGGGAAATTAAAGCTGTTTGCAAAATCTTTGCAAACTATGGGAGAAAAAATCTCGCACCCTTTTTGATTTAGTTCGGGTGATCTGAGGTCTTCAATTAGCAATTACCGATTAGCAAACGCTTTATTGTTTCTCAAAATCTGTTTTCCTCACATCAAACACTTTTTCTTCACCATTCGACTCAAAACACTTCCTCCCCTCCTTGCTAGGGCCCTGACTTCCACCTCAAGGGAAAGACCGCGCTCTAAGCATACTGTGCTGCAATACTTTCCTGTCTACACATGCTTCTGCAGTTTACAAAGAGGATTTCGTTATTTCATAGGTTTTAAAGCGGGTGTTCGTTTTCGTAGTCTAACCAAAGACCTCATGCCGGGACTTGTTCTTCGAACATTTTTCCAACATCCAAACTTATGAACTAAGGCATCGCAGAGTCTAATGTGTAACCATAAAATATCCAACTTACTTTGAGACAGACAGACAAACTACTTGGAGCTCAATACATAATAGGGAATTTTAAGCGTATTTAATGATTATTTCCAGGAAGGAAAATATGTTGAACTTGCCGTCAAGGCTTAAGAGATTCTCTTTTTATTTACTCCAAGAATGTACTATTCCAGCTTCCCTTACTGACCTTCTACTATGTGACGGTCCTTGCAAAGGGTTGAATGATTATCGTAAAATGATGCTTTATCCTGACTGTTCTCATGTGATTTGCGCACGATGCCAGCATGAACAGCCATCCGTGCCCAATGTTGATGGTGAGTTATCTTATAGCGGAGCTGTAATCAAAAAGAGATATTTCAAGGGAGTCCCGGCTGTTGCGTTAAAAAATGCTTTAACGAATCGCTTATTGATCGTGTGCCTAATGCTACATATAGGTGGGATCTAACTATATCTTTGGGTATTCTATTAGTTGGCAAGTCAGACTTATTTCAGGAAGGAAGCATTGTACAGATCTAACCCATTCACAGCGATAACCTATAATCTTACTGATTTGAGCGAATTGATTTACGGCAGCAAAGCAAACTCGGAGGCAAACATTATCTATCGTATCCTTCATAGTGTTGGTTATTGCTAATTTCCTAGGCCAGGAATATCATTCCATCTGAGCAGGCCATTACGGAGCTTTTGCAAATCCGTATTTTCATTCTCGAAAAGGTACCCACAAGTATGTTAACTCGAGTTGAATGAGCTCGAACTTGATTTCAGATATGCCAAAAAGTTGTACGCAGCAAATTGGAATTCGAAATTCCATCAAATTTCAGCCTTGGTCATATTTTAGACGTTGTGCAAGATGAAATGTGAGTGAAGAATGCACTTATTAATGATTTATACGCATAACGCATAACACCTCTGAAGTTGAAATGTATCAAAGCTCGAAACAATTAAATTGATGCCGCTTCTTATAGAAGGTTACGCAGTAATCAATAGAGATAGTAAGAGTATGAAGTTTCGTTGTGTTTTATCAGTAGTCCAGGCGAAACCTTTAATCAGCTTCTAGGTTCCCTTTTTCAGCCACACCAATATCCATAGCGTTGTATCGTACATTTCGATGTAGCCTGCCACAAAAGATTGCAGTAGACACTAAACTTCTTTCAACAATAAGCACAGTGTCAGTTGTTATATTCCAAGTTTATTATGGCTTAGCTTTTTCTAAGACATGCTCACACAACGACGCTCCTTGAATGACCAGGGTTTTGGCGTTCGGGATCATCCCCTATGTACTTTACCACCTTCGAATTTACTATCTCACAGGGATCATTCACCCAGATTCTTCTGGAAACTCGAAGTAATGTAATGCTTTGGACAGTTTTGTTGAGCTTATAGCTGTAATTACTCACGTTGTGTAACAAATTTTTGGAAAACCTGATCGAAGGTCTTTAACCAGGATTGCGTTTCAAAATGATAAGTATTTTCCCCGAGTGCTACAAACAGTAAGCACTTTCGCAATATGTAGGAGTAAAGCCAAGTTACAAGAGAAAATCTCTTTTATGACTGCTGCGGAAAAACGGTCCAGTGTAGCTTGGTATTTGGGCCCACAGTTGATTCAACATATTGCAACCTCAGGCTTTTAAGATCATCACTCCTTTTAAATAATGCTAGTGCTGAATTTGAGAAAATAGGATAAATTGTCATTCACTCATAGAGCAAGTGAGTCGAGGTGGAGCTGAGATTG